ACACACAATGTACAGCTATGATATAAAGGGCCTTTTGAAAGGGAGGCTTGGCAGCTTTCCCAGAATCTAACGGAAGGGTCCATTTGTGCCTTACCTGTGATTAATTCTTTTCCGTTTGTGTTTGCGGTGGAAGGGCTTGAGCCCAGCACTAACAAAACCCATTTTGTTACGCAGTTTGCTGCCGCTAACTGTTCCTCCAACCTCTGGGGCTTCCCTACCTTTCCGACTGTTGACTAATGTTAATTATGTGTATGCTGCTTAACCATCTAAGAGTGACCCTCTAAAGTGGCATTTAATCAGTTTTGAGGCAGTTGGCAAAAGTGAATTATGCAAGAGGACACCTAGGCGAGGATGGAAAAGGTTCTGAGACAGAAAAAGAAAGGCTCAGAGTTTGAGTGTTCAGGGCTGGGGGTCCATGAAAAGCCCTCTCTGTTGCTTCACCCTTAAAATCACCTCTTTCTGGGAAAGGGGAGAATAAATAGGGGACTAATTCGAGGGTATCTCAGCTTGTCATGGATGGGTCTTCAATGGCCTCGGGGTATCCTGAGACTCTGCCACTGCTGGAACAGCTGCTGGGGAATGCGTGTGAGATGGATGAATAGAAACAGCACTTCTGCCACTCTGCATTTAGCAGAGAACTGCATCCCCCCAGCATCCTCAGGACCAGGGAGAGAAAAAATACCTTTGCTAGTGGCCCTGTCCCCGAGCAGTGTTATTTCTCAGCCTCCTGGGGAGATGTGTATTAACAGGCAGACACTGGGCCCAGAAGAACAAGTGTGCTACTTTTCTGCCTTAACATGGTGAGCTTTTGGTTTTGGGGCTTTGTGGTAGTCAAATTTGAGGGCCTGGGAGATGTAGGTTAAAATGGCATTAATGGAGCTGAGCTGGTCAGGGTAACATCAGTAGAAGGAAAATCCAAAGTACTGCTTGGGATATGAGACGTAAAGAAAAGCAGCCTGACTTGTTACCACTGTAGAGAACAGCCACGTGGAGGTCGTAGGGGGTCCATCAGCTGGTAAGGAGAACTAAGCACTGGGATTTGAGCAGTCTCTGACACGTGTTTTACCCTGGAGAGTTTGGAGTGTAGACACATTTCTTGCACAAGTACTGGAGAAAACTGGCTGTATATTTCCCAGCTGTGCCCAATACCTTGTAGGACCTCATCCCAGAATGGCTAGGCTGGGTTGAACTGGGTAAGCTGGAATGGAGCTAGCTCTCCGAGGGTGTGTGCCAAAATCTAGAGGAGACTTTCCTGAATCCTGCCATAGACTTTCATCAGATGGACATTCAAGAAAAAATATCCCTGAACTCCCCACCCAGGTCTTCACCTCTTTTCAGATCAATTGACTAGTCATCTCTGGTCCAACAACTTGAAAGCCTTAAACTTTGCTTCAAAAGAATTTATGAATTCCCCTCACAGTTCAAGTGCATTCACCAGGAGCGGGGAATTCCTTTAGATCTCTGCTGAAGAATGCTTTTAAGTCAGGAGACTGCTTGTATCTACAAAGCAAAGTTGCTTGCTCACCAACAAGCTCTCTGCTGGAAGCACCATCTCCCTCAGAAGACTCACTGTTGTTCCCTGTTCCCTCTTGCCTATCTGTAAACTACCCCATGGCTAGGTAAATATTTTTATTATATCCTATGCCAAGCTTTCTTCCCCCTCCCACAGAAGAAGATGCACATCGGCTCCCTTTGACTGTGATGAACGCCCATGTCTAAGAGGAAGCTGGCCTTGCTCCAGATGTCAGCCTCACACATCCTGGCACAATGTTTTCCAACATAAAAGTGTAGCAAGAAAACAAACTCTGGTTTGCTCCTTCAGTGTTAATATCGCCGCCCACAACTGCTGCAGGGAACTCGTACAGCTGGGCTTTCACAGTTAGGTTGATAGGATGATAGGATAAACAGGGAAGAATTATCTGTCTTGGTGCTTGAATGGGAGCTTCTGAGCATGTCAGTGTGGACACTGTGTGAAGGGGAAGGTTGAATGGGCTGGACACATCCTTCTCTCTTCCAGAGCAATGCTGGTGTCCGAGGTCATGGACTTTGGCAGTTGTTCCCAGTTACTTCACAGCCAGCCTAGTTCAGCCTGCTCCAAGAACAGGATTGAGCTTCAAAAAGCCAATTTTTTCCCCAGATATCCAGTTGCTGACAAAGTGTCCCTTTTCTCTCTCCTGTTTCTGCCTGGTTTATTGGTAAAAGCCAGCAGAGGCTCTGTGGGGAGCAGAACCAGGGCCACAGCCCTGTGAGCTTGGCTGCTTGCTGGGGGGTGTGGGGAGCAAACTTGGTCTCCTGTAATAGTTTACCACTCCCTTCCCTTGCTGCTGCTTTTTAGTAGTGACTCTAAATGAGCACATGCTTCAGCTTTCTTGCTGAGCATATTTTTTGGCCTTTGGGTGGTATGAGATGTATTTACTGTTATTGACAGAAGCCAAAGGTCTTAAACCTCCCCTCTGCCAAATGAGATCAGTGTTCTGCATTGGAGGTCTGAAGCCACTGTCTGTCTGATGGCCCTGTGTTCTTTGATGTGTTGATCCTAAGGTCTCTTTTTATCTTTGTCCCATCTCTGTTCCACGTCTTGGGGTTTTTAAGCATCTCTCATGTGAACGTATCACATCTTGAGCTAATTAGAGCTTAGTTTATACCACTTTTTTCACAGGCTTGTGGGCAAGGTGGCTTTTTAATGGCCTTGTATCTGCACACCACAAGGTTAGTGCCCCATTGATGACCCAGGGATCTGGCAGCATCTCACCTGTGTAGGCAGGCTCCCATGGGATTGTCTGCATGCGTGACTGGTTCATCACGTTGGTTAGAGTTACGAGCAGGGATCCTCTTCTCCTACTTGCCTGACTGGATTTGGCCCTGATCTCAGTGCACCTGGATATCCTGGTATGCAGTGCTGTGGTTCGGACTGGCAGGTTAGGCCTCCAACTCCTAATGAGGCACTGAGAAGTCAATACCCAGATATTCCAGCAGCGCATTCCCACAGGCACCCTGGAAGGAGGAGATGCATTGTCTTTATTGATGTATGTGTGTGTTTTGAAAAAGCTATTGCCTAGGCACAGCTGTGGCTGGGACCGATGAGTTCATGGAATCCACTAAAACCTCAGTGACATAGACAGGACCGGTGCCCCCTGGCAGATTCAAGGAGGAGTTTCCAGGAGCTCTCCTTTAGTGCAGTTACTCTGCTTTTATTCACTGCAGGTGAAAGGTGACCATTACTCTTCCAATTCTCCTCTCCGGAAGCTTCTGTCTGCTCTAACTGTGGAATTGTCCCCATCTTTGTATGTACTGACTTCTTAGCATCTGCCAGATCCAACCAGGAGCTGCCCTGCTGGTAATCAGTGTCCCCCGGGACACACTCCTCCCTGGCTGACTCAGTCGGCCGTGGTGCTTCGGCACAGCCCTTCCGAGCAGAGAAGAAATTGCTCTTTCTGCCCTGTCTGTCTAAAGCTTTCCCTCCCAGCCCTCCCAGCAGCTGAGTCACTTCCTTCTTTAAATCTGGCCTTAAATCTTCCTTTTCTCTTCACCCTGTGATTCACTCCCTTTGTGAGGCGCTTTGCAGAGCTCCAGTGGGAAGATGCTGAACAGTGAGATGCTCCTGGAGTGAGACATCCTCCGTGTCTCAGAGCCACAGCAGTGAGCCTCTCTCTGAGGGCTGGTCCCTGTGCCGTGCTAAATGGTGACTCTTAGTGTCAGTATTTCTCTTAGATTAGCATTTCTTTCAATGCTACATCTGACGTAGTAATAGGAGCCAACTCCTGCCTGCGGGTGAGTGCGTGTAATTTCCTTTGACATCAGCATGTGCCTGTGAGGGAACAGCTCTACCCTTTCCCACCCTGTTTGATTAGATTCAGTAAAGGAGTCATTACAGCGTCTGTGCCACTCCTCCTTGTCCCTCGTGGGATTTAAGGAGCACCGATGAAATGTGTTTAGAGCAAGGAAGGCTTCAATTTCTGTTCCTAAAGATTGAAATTATTTTTAGTTTAACATCTGTACTACTCAAATTTTTATATTATGATTTTTTTTTGTCCCTCACCTGCTTATTTCCTTGGCCTTTGATCCTCTCATATCTAAGTATCTCGCCTTTTCACAGTTTCCTGGTGTGGAATGGAATCACCAACCAACAGGATAGTTGAAAGATGTCATCATGAATTAACAGTGTGGCACCGTTGAACTTGTCTAGACTTGCTCTGATTACCAGCAAAGTGTGGGATAAAATTTGCCAAAGCTTTAAATCCTGCTTTCATCTGGAACTTAAGCATTAAATCCATTTCACTACCCTTGTGCCTTAGTCGTATAGATACTCAAGGTGCTTATGAAAGCCTCCTGTGGGTGCCTTGCCGTCAGAGTTTGGGCAGAAATAGGTAAGGCCAGGGAGCAGACCTGGTTTTGTGAAGGTCTGGTGGCTTCCTCAGGACAGTGGTGCCCATGCCGGTGCCAGTGGTATAAGAGCATGTTAATGAAACATTTGGGATTGAATGAGTGGCAGGCTGTGATGCTTCAGTCACTCTGTAAGGGAAGGGTCTGTTTGTGAGACTGTTGCACTTGGAGATGCGTCCAGGCTGTGCAGGTGTATCTGTCTGTAGCTCTGGTTTTCTCAAACGTGACCAGTGACCATTTTCTAAAGAGCGACAAAAAAGTCATTTTCCAGCACAGTAAGTATGCAAATAAAATGAAATCACTATTGTAAAGGAACTTTGTTTTTGCAGAGGGGATGGAGCTGTGGAGTTTGTTAGAAAAACAAGATTTCTCATCCAAGGAAGAAACTTTTTCTTTTAAATGATTCCTACAGGAAACATAGCAATCAAGTAAATGAGATCTGCAGTTTCTAACAAATGCTGATAATCCCAAGCTCTGATGTTTAATAAAGCTTCAGCAATCAAATTTTTCACCTTCAAAACAGGCAGCTCTTGAGAACAACTTAACATGGCCTTTGCATAGTGATGTTATGTTGCATACTAAGCTTACATTGTATGTGTTTGTTTTCTTTTGCTTAGAATGAAGTGATCAGCCAGCAGCTCTCTGTCATTTTCACTCATTGCTATGGACCCTACCCAATTCCAAAGCTGGTTGAAATTAAGCGCAAGCAGACCTCCCGCCTAGGTAAGTGTGACTTGAAGATACTCACTGGTTCTCCAAGGAGAGCTGTGGGAAGTCTGTGTTACTGGCCAGGTGCTTGAGGGGGCCACAAGTCAGAGAAAAACCTGAATTTGAAAGGCAGAACTAGAAAAAGGAAGGGACCCAAACTTAGCCTGACCTGAAACTCCTGCTGAAATCAGGGGGGTCATCAGGTGTGTTGAAGTGGAACTGTAAATCGGCAAGGATTTGTCTGTGTTGCTAATTAGGCTGGGATCCAAGCCTTGGGCCTGGAGCCAAGCATCTGTCCGGATCGCAGGCCGCTGTGTCTGGCTGCAGGTGATGCTGCAGCAACACAGCCCTCCCAGCCAGGCCGGCAGAGCCCAGAGTGGTTTAATGGGACCGAGAGAAGACCCAAGCAATTTTCCAGGACCCTCTTCCCCTTGACACAAAGACTTCTTCCACAGGGAGAGGGGTGTAATAGGATATAAATGAGCACAGGGCCCTCCAGCATCTGTTCAGCTGCAGTTTGCATTGGGTAGCAGAGCTAGGAGGCTGTGCCAGCTTCACACAGCGCGGAGGGCTGGCTGTCATCTCAGCAAAGGTCACCACGGACTTCAAAGCTTTGAATTCCCTTTGTTTGAACTCCATGTGGTTGTCTGAGGGGCTTCTGTCTCAGGCTGTCCAAAATAGCTTTATAGGCTTTACTCATTAAAAACAATATCCTTCTATTCTATTGTCGTCTTCTGTCAAAACAGAAAAATATTCAGTTACTGGCTTTTTTGTTTCCTGCTCTTTGTGATTCTAGATCCCCATTTTCTTAACAATAAAGAGATGTCAGATGTTACATTTCTGGTGGAAGGAAGACCGTTTTATGCACATCGAGTGTTGCTATTTACTGCATCACCAAGGTAAAATATATCTATATTTTTATTTTTTTAAACAAAAGTAGAAAGTGATTTTGTGGGTTTTCTGGTTTTTTTGTTTGTTTTGCTGCTGTTACAATTCTTTGAAGGCTAGTGGCCCAATCTTCAAGTTTTTCCTAAGCAATGTTTCTCCAGAGCTTTTTTCCGGTTCATCTGCCAGATATTTAACAAGTGCTCCTCTTACTAGATTTCCACCCAGTAAGTGATCCATGCTTCTGACCATGCATCTGACTTCATTCCACTGAGGCACATTTGCATGGAGCTCGTTGCTGCATCCAGCTCTCGACTGTACAGGAGTCTTAATATTTTGATTCTTAATAATAATTTATCCTATGAGTGGCTAAATCCTGTCTTGCATCAGTTTAGGCAGTCTTCAGGAAAAACAAGTTGCTATCACACAGCTCATTAACAGCATTTGACAGTATCCAAAGGCAGTACTTATAGTCTGTTGCCTGTGCTCAGAAGGCTGAATACGGGTTACCCAGTTAAACCCAACCTTAAAGTGGCTCACAGACTTTATAGGTATGCAGCTGTATAATTAAAGGTGTGCTTTTAAAGAAATTTAGCTGTCCCTCTGTAAAAGCTTGTTTCAAGAGGTGGCAAGGGCAAAACACTGAGTTTGGATAATTTGAGCAATGTGGGAATTGATGCTAGTTGTGCTGCCAACCAACAGCACAGAGTAAAGAGATTTGCATAAAGCAACTGCAGTATCTCACCCTGCCTTCAATTAAGAAATTGATATTTTAGTTTAGAGCTTCTTGGTAGATATACAAGTATGTTCCAAACTCCAGCTTTAAGCCTACTAGATTGTGTTCATAATGAAGTTTGACACTAGTGAAAGCAAGTAAATTGTTATCCATATTTTAATTAACAAAATGCAGTCATTATATGGAAAAGGTTACCATCCAGCAAATGCTGGTCTTGATAGATAAGCTGAGCTTTGAACTACCGCTGGAAGGTCAGATGAATTATCAAAGAGAGGAAGTAGAAGGGCAGATGTTTCTGGCAGCACATTTCCCATTTTCACCACTTGATCAATGAGAATATCTGGTTTTGAGAAGTAGATTGTTACATATGTGTACATCTCACAGAAATCTGCAATTATTAACTTAAAATACATATTTTTTCCTGAAACTTGTGTCTGAATTTCTGGGTTTGATAATCAGGGAACAGCAACCTATCTAGTTTTCTATCCTGCCTCTTCTTACACAATTGTATTGAGCTTGCGTAGAAGCATTAAAAGTCTTAGTTTAGTTGTTTTAACAGTTTGTTCCAAAATACTTTTTAAAGCAGCATAATGGACATAGTCCAGAATTTAACCTTCAAAAAAGGAAACTGTGCAGGTTTTAAATGTTGCAAGTCGTCTAAAAGGTCACGTTGCCTCCAAGAAAAAAAAATTTGGTTTTGTGGTATGCATTTTTACAGACTCTGAATTTCAAATGTACATTTTATTCTATTGCAACATTAGATGTATTTTTCAAAAATTTCAAATTAAAGTCTCCTAGAGAAAGGCTTCTTCCTTTTGCTTTGAACTTTGTGTCAGTGTCTAAATCTTGATGCTTTTTGGTGACAAATCCATTCATTTCAGTGTACTATTTTTGCAAGAGTTGGTGCCATCCTTCCTCTGCACTTTTGTACTGTTTTTGCCATACTTTTTCACAGAGGAAATTGGGCTGGCTATTCAATTTTGCTCCTTTTTATTTAGGTTTAAAGCGTTGCTGTCTAGCAAGCCCTCATCTGATAGTACTTGTATTGAGATCAACTATGTGAAGTACCCCATCTTTCAGGTAAAGTCAGTTCTCACATTGAATTTGAATGGAACTTGTAAGAGGAACATCGTACAGGCCCTTTGCAGATTAGTACATATGTATTTGATAAACACAGAGCTCAGAGTAGTGGTTTCACGAGCACAGGCTTCATTTCCCTTTGTACACTAAGCTGCAGAGCGCTATTGATTGCAGACGTTCCTGAGTGGATACAATAACATGCATTTCACCTACATGGGCTATGCAGACAAAGCACCTGATGCTTTTTTCTGTAGTTGGCTCTCTCTGTACTTAATGGACAGGCTTGGAAGAGGCACAGTTCATTCCCTTCCTTTGCAGTATTCTCCAATCAATTTTTTTGCCATGAAAACATAGAGAAAACGCTTGCTTTACATATCTGTAGTGTATACATACATGTATATGCTTCCCTTTAGTTGACTCAGAGCTCAGACAGTTCCATGAATCGACTGTTATCACTGCAAATAATTCCCAGCTGCCTACAATAACTTTAGGCTTGCTGGAAGCATCCTGCAGAGGGATCTTAGCTGGCTTGTATTACAGTGCAAAGTCTCCCCCTCTCTTTCTCATCATCCATGCATGCCCACACACAGCTGGGTGAGGGTGGGGGTGCCATTGCCTGGAAAGGAATAAAGGAGTAACTATTGTATATGCTATATTTGCCTGAATCAGTGATGTACTTAACCTACTGGGAAATACACTCAAAACTCAGAATGAATTTATCAGTTTCCTGAAAAATGTTTGGAGCTCACCAGAAAGTCCAGACAATTTGAGGATCAGGGCTGAGACATTACACTACCTGAGAAAAGGAGAGATTGAACTTTGCAGAGAGACTAACCAAGTATATCTTGAAATCAGGAGGTTTGAGCCAGTTTTATCTATAATTTTTTGGTGGTGTTGGGAGAGCCTCGGGTATTGCCTGCAGCCTTTACATCACCCCCTGTTCCCTGATGTCTTGCCTTGCTTTTTATAAACACTCCGTTTGTTTTATTACAGCTGGTTATGCAGTATCTTTATTATGGAGGTGCAGAGTCACTCCTGATTAAAAATAATGAAATTATGGAGGTAAGAGACATTTATCTTAATTGCAGTGTGAGCAATGCTAAGTGATCTGTGTACCATTCACCCAAGGCCACATGGCCATTGGGCAAGACACAAGCATTCCTGTAAGAGCCAGAAGTGCCTCACTTGGAGTGCCCAGGCTGTCTGCAGTCCTGTGGGAGACACTCAGTCTCCTTCTTTGCTGGTCACCCATTATGATAAGTTTTGCCAGTATGAAGTTGACTGTCAGAGAAAAAAGAGTAGAAAAATTATCATCGTCAAGCGAAAAAGTATCTGAAAGAAAAATATCTGGTTAGTGGCAAAGCTGGTGTTACCAAAATCTGGAAGCAACTCCCAGCAGCATAGTGTTTGATCCTCTCTTTCTCTCAGCCTGATAGATGAGGTGCTCTGCTCCAGGAGGACCAGTCAGATTCCCTCTGCCACACTCTTTACTTTTGGTTAATTAGCTCGGGCTTACATGTTCAGTTCTATCTCAGCAGCGTTAAAAATATCCAGTTTGGTTCCTCACATGGGAGAATTCTTGGGCATGTACCTGGCTTTAACTGTGAGAGAAATCTGCCCAGAGTCATGGTTCAGTTGAATTTCAATCATGTGACGATTTCCTGAATAAAACCATAATCTGTGTACTCTCTGCCACCATGATCATAGAGTCATAGAATATCTCAAGTTGGAAGGGACCCATAAGTATCACCAAGTCCAACTCTATGCTCCTTGCAGGACTATGTAAAACTAAACCATATCACTCAGAGTGTCATCCAGATGCGCCTTGAACTCTGGCAGGCTTGGTGCCATGACCACTTCCCTGAGAAGCCTGTTCAGTGACTGACCACCTTCATAGTGGAGAACCTTTTCCTAATGTCTAATTTGCACTTCCCCTGACAACTTCATGTCATTTCCTCGTGTCCTATTGCTATGACATTACTCCCTATGGCACTACTGTCTGGCAGCCAGAGGATGGAACTGGTCAGGACTGAAATTATTCCTCTCCAGTGCAGGCAGTGGATTTTTAACTAAGCATACCCACATCGACTTTCTGAGCCATATAGGAAAAGTTCACTAATTCTCTATTTCACTCATAGTTTTGAAAGAACTCCTGAATTTCTAACCTTTTCTGAAATATGGAGTCTTACACTAGGCAGTGCAGCGGCTTTATAGAGACGTGTGTGTTATCACCTAGGCTGTTAGAAAGCCTGTGCTGCAGTTCAGCTGGCAGCTTGCTCTACTTTTGTGCCATCTCAAAATTTCTGTGACTTGAGAATGTATGACTGATTGATTGATCTGTTGATAACAGATCTGGCCACAGTTCCTCACAGTTTAAAGTAATTACAAACCAGCACATGACTGCTTGAGCCACAGAGGCAGCTGGAATAGGATTTGGCTTTATCTTTCAAAACTGCATTTAGCAACTTGCCTTATTACAAATATGATAACAAGAAGCACCAGAAATACTCCACAGAAATCTTTGCTGCAATTCATAATTGAGGCCAGCTGGCTGCTATCACATCAGCACTGCAGATTTCCAGCACTTGGATTTATTTATGGTATTAAAGTAGAGCTTGAGCAGACTGCATAGGAGAAGTCAGAATAATGTCATGGAAGTTTCAGGGTTTTGTTTGTTCCCTAGTGCTTCTGATTAGAAGCATGAGAGCCCCTTTGGAATTCACAGGATAGCTTTTTGTCATGCAGTCCTACATAATAAGGACTGTATAAAGGCCTGAATACATGAATAAGTGCTATTTAAACACCTAAACAGCTTGGCCTAAGGTATGGCTGGGTGTCAAGCAATGGAGAACCCCAGCCTGCTTCCTAAGGCAGAGCAGAGAGCCAGAGCCAATGACCCACCATGGAAAGACATAAAATGAAATGCCTTTTCCCCACTGTAAAAGGACAGAGTGGGGGCAATAGAGGAAATCTTAGCACTACTGAAATCTGTTGGAGAGCTCAAAATTTAAGCCATTTTCACCCCATTGGTGTACAGAGATCCCAAAACAGTGCCAGTCCAGGTAGTATAACTATAGGGGGGATGCAGGGCCAAAGAGGGAGGTCAGCTGAAGTGCTGGTGTCAGGAGAGCCATGGTAGAGCAGCAGTACAGGCACATGACACTAACATGAATGTTAACTAGGCAGTGCCCCACACCAAGCTGGTTCCCACCTTTGCATAGTATCCCTCTGTGCGCTCACTTCAGACAGTAGTGCCAGACAGTGTTTCAGCTTCTGTGGCCTAGACATTACCTTACAGCTGCTCACAAGCTAGAACAAGGAGCATATGGAGATCTGATTCCATTTCCTTGAGCTTGCTGAGGTGACAGATTTGAGTTTTATTGCCTCTCTAGATTGTTAAGACTGCTCAGGATGGTCATCATCATCTAGTTTGAATTCCTCTATACTCTTGGTCCTGACCCTTCTGCTGACATCCCCACATCAAGCCCAGGTGCTCTGTTTCAGCCAGATCTTTGGGAATGGTTGATCCGTAGCCTTGTTTTTTGGGAATGCAATTGCAGGTCCCTTCTTCCAGAGTCATGTTTGCAAAGTGAGAAAATATTCTTGAGGCTGCTGTTTCCTTTTTCTCTCTCATACACCCCCCACTCCTCACCCCATTCCAAAGTCAGCATGTGTATCTGAGCAGCATGTGGTGGTCTCTCCGTGTACAGCTTCCCGAAGTGTGATCTAGAGGGGACCTGCAGAGGGTGGAAGCAACTAAGCAATCTTCTCATTCTGACTTTTTGTCAGTACTTTCATGCTAACTGAAGCAGGGACAGAGAAAAAAATATAATGACACAGTAAAGAATCAAGCTCTGATTCTGTATCGCTCAGCAGTTTTTGACTATTTTTTCCATGCCTTTTGTTTTTTTTTTAGCTTCTCTCTGCTGCTAAATTTTTCCAGCTTGAAGCTTTACAACGACACTGTGAGATCATTTGTGCAAAAAGCATTAATACAGAAAACTGCGTGGATATTTATAATCATGCCAAGGTAAAAATAACTGCATACGCTTGCATGTTATGTGTCTGTCGTCATAGTCGTAGGTCATTTTTATGACAAGTAGTGACACATATATATATTTATCATATGCTTGGTACATTTGTTATGTGTTTAGGATTTGTCATTAATTTACTGGGATTGACTGGCTAATAGGTACATAGCATAGTGACAGTCCTAAATCATGTAGTATAACTGCAAGGTGGCACCTTCTCACCCCCTTCCCTGAGCGGTTCAAACTCAATTTGAGTGTATCATTGTGCAAGACCTATCCCTTATTCATGGCAACCCAAACTGCTGAGCTGATTCAACAGGAATCACCTAAGTGAAGAAGACACCTCTGCTTTCACCTTTCAAGCTGCATTTTCCCATTAAAATTACCTGTTTCCTCCTGCCTGGAGCCCACTGGGGGGATACACTCAATGCTGGTGACAGCTTGTCAATATATGAAAATGCCATGTTGTGGAAGTTCAGTGGCTCAGAACCCTGCAAGGATGGTAATGAGAATTTTATGTCTTGGAGAGCTTCTTATTGGAATCAAATTATATACTTAGCTTGTGAGGTGGCCTAAGTCATTAGACAAAAAAGCATGGCATTTTTTGACCTAGAAAACCTATTTTCACACATTGATAGAGGTTGTTGCCACATTGATTAGTTTCAGTTTTTCTCTTCCTCAGGTGTAGTAGTTAGACTTTCACTTGGAAGATGGAAATGATACACAAATAAGTGCAATGAAATATTTTTTTCTGTAACTTACATGGTCTATACAAAAGATAAACTGATGCATTGTGACATGGAGGTTTGATTGAACAGAGTAATCCCACTCCAAACCCCTGCAGATCTGACCTCCATTCCCATCCTCAGGTATTTCCTACAGAGAACAGTAATGTTAGGTCTTGATGTACAGATAACATGCAATCAGTGTTTAAAATAGCACAAAGTTCCACCTATAAAAATAAGAAATGAGGTCTATCTGCAGGTCCATTTATTGTAATGGGAAAAAAATTACAGTGCAGGAATCTCTTGAAAAATATTTGATTGATCTTCTAGCTCATGTGGGAATTACTCAATTTGTATTACTGTTAGTAAAATTAATAATTTTGGTTTAAAATCACATGTTTTCTTTGAATTGTGAAATGTGGCTGTTATTTACATCTGATTGAAGAAAATTCTTACATGGAGCTTTAGACCTCTTTGAGGTCTGAACTGCTGGTGTTGGGACTGAACAGACACAGAGGCTAAATTCAGCTCCTGGTTTGCCTATAAGAGCCCCAGCCTGCAATTTCTTTTGTGCCTGCATCTTTCAGTGGAGGCAGTGGAAATGGTGTACTTGAGAGGTTTTTACAGCCAGAGTCATGTTTGCACTGATGTGGGTGGGACATTGCAGAGATAGCCAAGCTAGCTGTAAATGAAACTTTGACTTCTGGAATTAAACCACATCACCCTAAAGCACTGCATGGGCTAATTTACCCTGCTTCCAGTGAATTACCATGGCTAAGCTTCATTCTGCTTTATCCAGAAGGTTTCTGGGGCCTGAACTCACACATTTAAAGCTAGTTCAGATACCTCTCTATTACGCTAGAAGAGCATAGAAGATGCTTTGTCTTTTTGCTCTGGTATGTGTGATGTGCAGGTGATTAATCTGAGCACAGATCATTCTTCCCAGTGCTCCCATCACAGAGTAGCCTCATTTGTTTGTTATGTGAGTGTGAGATGATGTTGTGTGGCGCAAGAGGCCGGATGGTCCTGATAAGCCAGGAGAGCTCACATGCAGCTCCAGCACAGCTTGTCAGCCATCCATCTGCCTTTCCATGTTGCTCTCTGAGGTGTGGAAGAGCTTGTGTTAGACCCTAGTGAGAATGGGAATAAGGTGAGCAGGCACTGAAGCCAGGAACCACCTCATCAACTAGAAGCAGGTTTTGAGTGACCTGATGCTGTTGTAGGTACTATTTCTTGTCCTTCCTAGAATCATCATAGAATGGTTTGGATTGGAAGGGACACTTAAAGATCATCTAGTTACAACCATCCTGCCGTGGTCAGGGACACCTTTCTTGTCCTTGCTACTTTACAAGCTCATCTGCATCTGCAGGCACTCGGGCAATGCTGAGACCTGTCTTTCCAGATGGGGAGGTGCAAGCAGGTTGGCCCAGAGAAACCTGGAGCACAGCCTTTGTCATGATTGAGAGAAAGACACGATTTGCTGGAATAACATGACGTGAGCACAGACTTGGGAAGCTATCTGTGGCAGGGGCCTAGATTGTAGAACAATGTTTAGCAAGGTGATGCGCTTTGTAGTACCAGCTGCAGGAATTAGAGTTTGAAACCCTGGATTAAAGAGCTGAGGTACTGGTAGGAAGGTCAGAGAATGTGAATTTGGTTGTATTTACAAATAAAAGCTGAATGGAGAGTATTAATATCATTAATATCTCTATGGACTTTCCATTTTTAAAATTGCAGTTATAGAATTGTAGAATATCAGGTTGGAAGGGACTTCAAGAATCATCTGGTCCAACCTTTCTAGGCAAAAGTATGGTCTAGGCAAGATAGCCCAGCATTCTGTCTGGCTGAATCTTAAAAGTGTCCAATGCTGGGAAATCCACCACTACCCTGGGGAGATTTTTTCAATGGCTGATTGTTTCCATTTTTCCTCCAAAGATTCCTCAAAGCATGAAGTTTTGCATGACAGCTTACTGCAGTCATATGTCCCATCCTTGCTAAGGATGGCATTCTTGAAACTTGCTGTGTAATGTTTTCCTGTAGTTTTAGGGTGTAACTTCTAGCGTGAAATCATGGGTCTGGTAAACTCTGTGGTAGAACTCCCATCAATTTCCAAGGGAGCAAAGCTTCACCTCGTGGAATTTTGTTTTCCCAACAACCACAGTCTTTTAACATGGAATTATTATAGGAATCATCAGCATAAAATACTGTTTGATTAACTCCTTCCCCTCCATGCATTCATATCTGTAAGTGTTACTGTGCCTGTCTAAAAGGCTGAGCTTATGTATTTGTTTGTGTGCAGCTCTTATGCACTGTATTTGCTGATTGGGTTTTATCAGATTGGTTATCTTTCTCTAATTTCACTTCTTGTAGTTTCTCGGCGTCACAGAACTATCTTCCTATTGTGAAGGCTACTTTCTAAAAAATATGATGGTCCTCATTGAAAATGAAGCTTTCAAACAGCTGTTGTATGACAAGAATGGAGAAACATCTGGTCAAAATGTACTAGAGGACTTACAGAGGACGTTGGCCACAAGGATTCAGTCAATTCATTTGTCTTCTTCAAAGGGCTCCGTTGTGTAAAGCTGAGGAAGATGGTAACCCTCTAATAAAACACCCTGCAAGTTAAGTCTGCTGGTGCAGTTGCTTAAACCTGTTGCAGTTGCTTAAACGACTACAAAAAAGAAAATTTAAGAAATTCTACTTCGCATCCAAATAGTTCTGTTTTGGCCAAAGGTGCTGCGCTGGGGCTGTATCCCTGTTTGGATGAGAGAATACAGAAAACCAAGTTCCTCCATGGTTTTGAGCAAACTGGGTACAAGAGTATCTGGTGAATTGCTGTTGTACTCAAATCCTGAACATTAACCTCTTTGTGGATCTTGATGCCAACAAAAGCCAGAACTCACATCAGTGAACAGCAGAAGCCCCTGCCTTGAAGGGTAGTGCCAGGGAACACCTGAATTGACCAATTAATCATTTAAGTCAGATTTGTTCCAGTGTTACACATTTAAGAACTGTATCTATCCCGGAGTCCATTATCTCATGCATTTGAGAAATGTAAGAACTGTTCTTGCTGTCAAGCAAAGATCAGCTGTATTAGAGAGTGGGTAAGACTGTTGCAGTTGAGGAAATATACTGGCAGATTTTTAGGGGTGGGAACTTTTTAAATTGTTCATAAAAAATGGGGTGGCCTTGTAGTTTAAAAACTATTTCTTAAGCTTAAAATTTCATTTTCAACAGAGCTGTGTTTGAGAATCTATGTAACATGTTTTGGTTTTTTAAATGGTAAAATGTACATTGTGTAAACATACATATGATCAAGTTTTGCTTGTATTCTTTCCTAGGGTGGTATAATCTTGCCTAACAGGCTATGGTTACACCAAAGAGGTACATTACCCAGACTATCTCTAATACAGTAGTTGGGGGGGGCAGAAGAACTGCATGCTACTCGTGATTTGGGGTTAAAAACAATGACAAACTCAACAAACATGCGTTTGCATGGTAACTGTACCTGTGAAATGTTACATTCATGCTTTGTTTTGCCAAGACAAATGCAATGTTACTTCTTGTCAAACTTCATTTGTGAAATTAGCATATTTTTTTATTTGGTGCGATTGGCTGTGATATGATACCCCTGGAGCTCCTTCTTGAGGTGCTGATTTCTGTTTGTTGCAGTGAAGGGATAATAACAGATCTTTACTTGAGTAATGTGTGGATATTTTGCTACTGGCCAGAGATTGTTGTCCTAGTTAGACTTTTTTAAATTATAATTAAATATGTACTATAGAATGATTCCTCACTGTATCCTGAGAATGTATAGGTTATCTACAAGTGCAGGGCTTGGGTGGGGTGGGATGGGGGTGTGATTTAAAATGTCAAAGCTTTGTTTATTTTGCAGCATATTGTTAGCAAGACAAATCTGCTATGTGCCACAACGTTCCTGATGCTCTGTGTCTGCAAGCCACAGCAAGAAGTAGGCAAAGATGTTGCCTTCTCCATGACAAAGTGACATTAATATACTTACTTTCTAGACTGCCATTCAGAAAATTTAGAAGTTTTATTTTGACAGTGAATGTTAACCTCTTTTTCTTTTGTTGAAACATCTACATCAGGTGCCCTTCCACGTTGATAGCTTTTGACATGATCAGAAAACACAGTTTTGGCTTTAGTTATCAACACAGTAGGAAGCTGTTTTATGACTAAGGTGTAAATCCTCCTTTATGCTTGGTTTTGTACAGTTTCTGCAACAAATTACAAAATATCTGAACTGCCAATAATGTTGCAGAGACACAACATGTCAGTCAATTACACTTTTTTTTCCTGCGTAGATGTTGACACAAGATGTTGTCCGGAACATTTAAGTAATGGCAAGTTCTGTGTTGCAATTGTAGAGAAGCGCGAGACCATAGTTGATGCAACAGCAACAACACGTGGGGGTGCTTGTTGTTGTTTGGTGTGCCTCCTCATCCATGGAAGCCCATCCTTCCATGCCAGTGATAACTGGGTAGCAGCAGACCTCACCCTGCAGCTTCATAGTTTAAAATAGCAAAGTTTTTCAAACAGTAATCGTGATCTTAAATAGGAAGGAAACACTGATAACTCCATGCTAGTTTTTCTTGTGGTGAGTTGAGAGTATCTGTGGTAACGTTCAGTAGTTTTCTTTCATCAATAAAGGGCTTAATAGGGCCTTTGGTGGCTGTATGTGGAGTGGTCACGGTGTTTGGGCTCTCAGAGGCAGATGTGACAGAGTGCAGCTGCCTCCAAGCACACTCAGCGTCCATCTGCAGCAGAGCTGTGCCAGCCCATGCCCTCGTGTGTCCCCGTGTGCTCCTTCCTGGGCTTGTGGATCAGGATGGCTGAGCATGACAGGAAGTGTGGCACCCACTGCTGCCACTTTGCTGGTGTTTGGCAAATGGTAGGAGAGGACAAATCCCAAGAGGTTGTCATACAAAACTGTTACAGGTAGGGATTGTGGCTATGGATTTATACAGGAATAACTTTTTCCCTTCAAAAACGCTGGTAAATCCCAACATCATAGATGTATAGCTGAAGGAAACCTTAAAAAAGAGTCATAACTTTCAATTCTTTTTTGACCAGTGACCCCCATCAGTTTTGCCAGCAGAAGAGCCAGCCTGTGTAACCCTGGCATTCATTTCTCCTGGAAGCAGCCAGCAAACTGTTGTGGATCCACAAACCAGAGCCTGGAAAGTGATTTTAGTGTGCCTCTGCTGATGTGAGGCTGGGTGAGGTCTAACTGAGCCATGTCAGACAATGTGCAGCTTGCAGGCTCTTAAACATCCAGTCACAGGGATCCATGATCTTCACCACCCTCATAATCAGAAGGTTTTCCTAACAGACTATTCAGAATTTCTTCACTGCCAATCGAGTCACTTTTCCTTCAAGCCCTGATTGACAGGAAAACCAGATGATCTTACAAGATCTTTTTTAAGGTTATTCTGTGTATGAAAGGAATTATCTTATTTGCCTCACTAGTACAGTCTTTGCTAGTTCCTTTGCTAGTGTTTTCTAGGTCTCTGATTTTTGCTGTCAGTCCCCTCGTGACTTCCCATTTTCTGCATTTTCAGTACTGCAGCAGGAGCTTTATAAGTAATAAGCAAAGCAGGGTAACTGTTTTCTGTGGTTTATGTAAAGCATATCAGAAAATATATCCCCAGATATTTTCTACAAGAACATCCCATGGCTGACTTTGATCCAGTCTGTCTAATAATTCCTGAGGGATTCACTGCTGCCTTCCCAAGAGTTCCATCTTTATTTGTGCATTTGTTTACTACACCTTTCGAAGTGTAACACTTTCAACTTCTCTTTATTAGATTTGTTCTGCTCTAATCGGGGCAATTTCCCCACTTCATCAAAATCAGTTGCAATTCTGATCCTGTCTTCTAGCCTATTTCATAATCTCCAAGCTTTATTATACATGGCTTCATGCATGGATTCTTCATTCCATTAATCTGAGGCTGGGGGGAAGGGCTCTGTTGTCAATTTAATCTGAAAATCAGTGTGAGTTTCAGTGGGTGTCCATGAATACCATCCCTGTCAGATAAGGCTCTTTTCAACAGAGCATTTTATTAGCATTTTTTTTAGACATGGTGTTATCATCTTAGAAAACAAAAAGCCTTCTGTTCCTTTAGTCTTTTTGTGAGTTGCAATAATTTACAAATTTTGAGGCAAAATATTGCCTCCAGTCTTGGTGAAATGGAAAAAAATGCAACATCCTTCGCAAAAACTTGTGATTTTCTTTTTTAATCATAACTTTCCAGCCTGTAATGAGTGAAGGTGCCTTTCCATTTGTCTTTTTTATACTAATCCATGCTGTGATATTTGAGGACTTGCAGACATCCTGTCCCTGCCTCATGGCAGATCTTTCCTTTTGTCACTACACGGTCCTCCCTTAGTTTCCAGAATTTCCTCACATTTCCACTTTGCCTCACGTGCTGCCAGTTTCCACATTTCCCAGTGTTTTTACTCTAGAGCCCTGCCGGATCCCTTCACAAGCCCAGAAAGGGTATCAATGTTCTCCTGAATGGGCGATTTTCCAATAATGGGCTCAAGAGCTGGGAAGAGAAAAGGATGGGGAATGTAGGAGGGCAAAGGTTTTGGACATCACAGATGAAGCTGGTATTCTTTTCATTACAAATTTCAGCACTGTCTACTTGTTTCTCAAATTTTCCCCTGATCTGTTCCTTATGCCTCCTGTCCTCTAAACACAGCTGGTGGCCAGATGCTCTCTGTTCTGGAAAAGGGCCAGGGCTCTAATGGCTAAGATTATTTTTTCCCCAGCTAAAACTTTTGCCTGCTTGATTTCAGCTCCAGAGTAGATTTGTGCAAATGTCTATTAAAGACAGAGGAAACATCTTTAAAAAGGTGTGAAGGCTTAGTAGCCAGGCTCTTATTTGCACTAATGAGAGCTGCTTGCTGAATCCCCCACATGCTGCTTTTGTCACTGAGGCTTTTTCCACTGAATGTCCACAGGCTTCATACCAAACGGTGCACAAGTCCTGGATGGGCTGTAGTATGTGGTAGGATGGGGGCTTTCAGAAATTCTGGTTTTGTTTCAAAGCACAGCACCATGTGCTGCTCTTTAAAGATTAAAAGAAAAAGGGAAATCCTCAGTTTGTAATGAAATAAACTGCTCTGAGGTGCTGCAGTGAGAAAAAAAGAAAGGGCATCTCCTCTTCCCACCTGTACCTGTCTAAAATAAGAGGAGGGTTCTGTTACAGCATGCAATGCAACAAGGTCTGTGGGGACCCAGGCATGCTTCCAGAGAAATACAGGTGGTGTAAAAGTTAACATATCCACATACTTGAGGCAAGGATTAGGCCATCACAGAAAAAAAGCCATTCTTGTCCATAATTTAAATCCTGGGAGAAGCTGGGAACATAGAGAACTAGTCAGTCAGTTGCTGGTATTCAGTGTCCCTCAGGAGCTGGCTCTGTCTTAAAAATATTGCTGAAAGATGACAGCCTGAAGACTGCATTCACTAAAGTTGCCTCTGAAGCTACTGGATTTTTTTTTTTTGATGAATGAGAGTTACCTGAAGTCAAAGACTTCAAGTTAGTTTCTTTGACAAAGTGTCTTTCATGTGAGGCTCTGCAACTGCTTTACAGAAATGAAGGGCCTGATACTGCTTTCATCCTCTGGCCCAGCGATGTTGAAATATATAAGCATTAAAAAAACTGCTTAGGATTTGTCCTAACATTTAATAAACTAGCTTGCAGGAAGTTAGCCTTGAAATAGCCCTGAAATAATATCTGAAACCCCACAGATGAGAATATTATTAATTTTATGTGTCTACCTATAAGCACAACATTTATATCTTTAACTTGCAACCCTTCCAATCACATCTTCCATGCATTTATAGCAATTATAGCAAAATTAATGTTATGTTATTATTTAACTTATTTATTTTGAGGTAAAGCCCTTTATCTTCAGTGGGTGAAAATCCAGGCTGCCTACTCTGACCAGATTATCACATTTAAGAGAATTGCACCTGACCTACCATTTGTAACTGGCCTCCAAGGGCAAAAAACAGCAAAGGCAAGTCTTCAGCTGTGGCTCAATGATCCATGACTTCAACGAGACAGACCACTGCTGAAAACATAATGCATGTGGTGCCCAAAGCAGAAGGAAAATCAGGAAACCCTCAGAGACTAATGGGAATTTGTCAGCTGCCTTCAGTGAGGCTAAAAGCTGGGGAAGCAAGCTCAGTGTGGGTAGGAGGAGGGTATTCAGTTCCTTTTTGTTGCCATTTAACCTGACATTCTTTCAACTCTGTTCAAGGCTTCTTGCATGGAACAGCCATGGATGGCCTAGTGTGTATTTATCTTGGATGCATGCAGAGGGGTTAAAATGTGGTTATCTCACCTCTTCAAAGTCAGTAGTCTCATTAGATGATGCTTTTTGTGCTTTGCTTGGACTGCTTGTCACTAAAACACCCAGGAGACATAGCAGCAACTTACTGAGGTAAGAGAGGTTGCACTGGCTGGATAGGTTTAATTCTACAAAAATCTTGTGGTTTGCATACTATGTTGTTTAGTTGGCTAAATCTGTCTACTTGATGTGGATGTACCAGAACAGCAATTTTTTTGTTTCTTTTCCTTTGGAGAGGCATTTTTCACCTTTCTTTGTGCTTACAGCTTTGTTCTTTCATCCTGTAGAGGTGATGACAATGTGAATGGGCATGCTTTGCTTAGGCATCCATGTTGGATGGCACACTAATGAAGAAGACTTAGTAAGGGAAGAGGACTAGGTACAAGAATTTGAATGTATAACTCCAAATCTTTGCTTTAGATTCCAGAGGTATAGTGTTCATT